TAGCCGGACTGTGATGTGAGCTTGGTCGAGCCAAAGCTCGGGTGTAATGGGCCGATAGTCTTGGACCCGTCCCATTATCCCAACACGAGTCCCCCACTCCCTTAGTCGAGTAGTAGACTCGGCTAAAAGGGAGTAGTTAAGCTGTTTTGGAATTGGTCCGATTCTTGGTCCGGTCGGTCGGTCATTGGCGAGCCTTGAATTAGATCCAATTGCTTGTGAAAGAACGGAGTCTTCCTTGTTCCGACTGGGAGACCTCTTCTTTTGTTCATGATGAGGGGGTGCCTCGTTAAAACCTTACTAGGAAAAAACCCAGTGGGAAAAAATCCCAGTAAAGGAAAAAGAGTACACCGGAACCTTAAAATAAAGCTAAGGAAGGCTAGTCTCCTCGGTTCTTGATTGAGTGTATGCTTTACTGGTAAGTTGAGATATGTTTCGAGAAGGCCAGTCCTACGGTTGTTTGCCAGTGGAGGCGGTCGAGCCAAGGTATGCTCGGGAGAGACTAGTTGCACAATTGTCTGTTGATGACGCAGAACCGAGGTGTGCTCGGGAGAGGCCAACGACTCAACTGTCTGTCGATGATGTCGAGCTGAGGTGTGCTCGGGAGAGGCCAACAGCTCAGTTGTCCGCTGATGGTGATCAGGTGAAGCATGCTCTGAAAAAGCCGGTTGCACGCTGTCCACATTATTCCCCGCTGCTTGCGAAAGGATTTGGTTTCCTTCGTCTGGGTAGCAGTCCGGGTCTTGTTTGTTCGACCAGCAGCCCGGGGTCTTGTTTGTCAGATTAGCAGCTTGAGGTCTTGTTTCTCCGACTAGCAGACCGGGGTCTTGTTTCTCCGTCTAGCAGCCCCGGGTCTTTTCTATCCGATTAGCAGTCCAGGGTCTTCTTCCAAATTCAGCAACAAGGTGAGCCCTCCGAGCACTGCGTGAAGCTGCAACGATCGCCATCTGCTAAGGGAATGACAAATACCGGTCTTCACTTGTGACAATGCTCGTCTGACGTTCTCAGAAGGATGCTGTGAGTAGTCCACCATGATAAGTAGTCCCTATTGATTGCTATTACTACGGTGTCATTTGTCGTTCAAGTTTCCCCAGGTTGGATGTAAGATCCCAGACTGAGAGCGATGCTTGGAGGGGGGACGCCCTAATGCAGAGTAAGGGAGCGATGCTTGGACGACCCCTTGAATTGATTCAGGGAAAGAGAGCAATGCTTGGGTGACTCATTCCTTGTCGTTTGTTGAATCGATGAGAGAGTTCTTTTGTAGGTCTGCTCATTCATGCCAGTGATCGGAGGGTTGCACCTATTTTCTCGTGTGACGAGGAGCCCAAGGTGCCCCCCACCTGCTGTGATTCGAGGGAGGTCGGAGTGACATGTCATCTTAATGGTCTCTGAACATCATGGATGGTGAGGAAGGCAAGACTTCCACTTTGCTTCGTCTTGATGAATGATTATTGACGAGGGTGGCATGTGATTGCATTCGGGCTTCCAAGCTATGCATCGATACGTGCCTCTCTAACATTGTGGTCTCTGAACATCATGGATGGTGTTTTCATTGAGAGCATGTCATCTTAATGGTCTCTGAACATCATGGATGGTGAGGAAGGCAAGACTTCCACTTTGCTTCGTCTTGATGAATGATTATTGACGAGGGTGACATGTGATTGCATTCGGGCTTCCAAGCTATGCATCGATACGTGCCTCTCTAACATTGTGAGAGCATCGCTTGATCGTAGGTGGTTTGGAAAGATAGACAATCTCGTTCCTCTGCACAAACATGGCCATATACCAGGATGACGAGCTTGACGTAGAAGATGCGTAAGTTACGGAATCTCCACCTTGTGATGGCATGTGTGACCGACCATGATTTAGGAAAGCTACGTACGACACTCAAGCAAAAATTAGGAAAGTACGAATATGGAAAGTAGCTATGAGATTTAGCATATAGAATTTGTCCCCCCTAATCTGAATTACAATCCGCCTTTTATAGGCGTATACAAATCGTAACCGTAACCGATAATAATGACTAATTAATTACAACATTAATACGGAATTAAATACATAATTAATAGTGAATTAATTGCTTGACCGTTACTCTTCCGGGCTGGGAGGTCGGCCGGGCTGGCAGGCTCCTCGCTGAGCTGGCAGGCAGGCTCCAGGGTGTGGACTTGGATACATGGGTCCAAGTTCGGGGCTTGAGTTGATTAGGCTCTCGGCCTAGTCCCATTACTCCATCACGAGTCCCCCACTCCCTTAGTCGAGTAGTAGACTCGGCTAAGAGGGAGTAGTCCAAGTCGGTTGCTCTTCTCCGAGACTAGAAGATCCCCGCCCTTATCCATGTTGGGGAGATGCTTCATTAAAAACCTTCATTAGGAAAAAACCCAATGGGAAAAAATTCTAATGAAGGGAAAAAGAGTACATCTGACGCCCCCAAGATGAAGCAAGAGGTGAGATCCTCAGCCTTTATTGCAATAGTCGCCATCTGCGAATAAGATGGCTAGAAATGTTCTTCTCGTCGGACTCAGACTCGTCAGGTTTGTCATTTGATTCCTTGAAGACGGTAAGACCCTCAGTCCCCCACTTCATTTAGTTGTACCTACACATAAAAGAAACTAGTGTAGAATAGAGCATCTAGCCTGGTGTCGAACCACAACTCGGGGTGTAAGTGAGTCGGACTCACTATTTGAAAAGAATGACATCAAGTTCCCAAGTTAGGCCTCAACCCAGTCTCCGAAAGAAAGAGTAAATCCGCGAGTAAGTGAGTCGGACTCCTCACTCGAATGGATAATCCAACCCCAAAGAACTAAAGTATATCAACCTTTTCGAGAAATGTGAATGTCAATTAAGTGACAAAATCGCTTGGAAGAGCGTGACTCTAGGCCCCTAACAAGTGTTTAACTCGCCGCCCGAGGTTAGTAGTTCGAACCCGCAAGTAAAAACTTTTGAACGGGTGACTCGTCCCCCAAGGTCGGAGTGTGATGCACTTGGAAAGGGTAAGAGCACGCAAGAACTCGCATGAAGTCAAGAGTGTGCGGTATTAACATTTATATTGGAGCTTATTAATCGCCACACCCATATGACGTGACCCGGTGGCGCGAGTGTGTGTGCTCGGCCAGTGTATGAGTGTGTGTGCTCACCCAGTGTACGTGAGTGATCGGATTTCATAAGTCCGTTTTTGAATGTTAAAATTACACACGCTTAATAAGAGTAAAGCAATTATATCACTTAAGATATATTTTTTTCATTTTATATTTTTTGTAATGACTTTTTATAAAAAATCGAATATATGGAGGAAATTGTCATGGTACTTATCTTTCAAATGGGGCTCAAATTGTTAACCCTCTTGGATCATGGCCCAATTTGACTGGGTCAACAAAAGCTGGTCGCTCTTCTATTTTGCAGAAATCGGAAGGCTCAACATAGGAAAGATAAGCGGTCGTTCCCAAGGGGAGCAGGACCCTTCGCATCTCGTCGCCGCAGCTTGAACATGGACATTAGTCTATACCTGTTGGAGACGGGAGCTGTCAATGGAGCCTCGGCCGGAGCTTCATAAAGCCGTGCACGACTTTTGGGAGGTCTTAAATGGGGATGTCAGAGCCTCCACCATCGGAACAAATCAGGTTGACTCCTTGCGACGACGACAACTATGGATTTGGGTTCACAGGGGACCATCGCAGCGGCAACAGAGAAAGAAGCAACAACCTTGAATTTTCTCCGTGATGACATCAAGCGGTCATTAATGGCGGATGGCAAGCTGCGTGGTGGCGAAGTGATCTGCTTGTTGCCGGACTGGTTAGATCTGGCTGCTTCCTTTGCTTGGTCGGGTTTCGAGAGATCCTTCGATTTGGGAAGATCCGGATCCCAAAAAATCCTTTTTTTGTTTTCAGATCGATTTTTGCCAGATTTTTTCAAGATTGTGAATTACAGACATGAAAACTGCTAGAAACCTTCGATCTTTGCCCATTTTTTCTGAAATTTCCTGATTGATTCCTACCAAAGTGATGAGAGACAATAGAGTCTCTCAATGAAAGCACCAATGTTGGTCCAAAATAGGACGTTCGTAGGCTTTTAGGAAAGCTACGTACGACACTCAAGCAAGAATTAGGAAAGTACGAATATGGAAAGTAGCTATGAGATTTAGCATATAGAATTTGTCCCCCCTAATCTGAATTACAATCCGCCTTTTATAGGCGTATACAAATCGTAACCGTAACCGATAATAATGACTAATTAATTACAACATTAATACGGAATTAAATACATAATTAATAGTGAATTAATTGCTTGACCGTTACTCTTCCGGGCTGGGAGGTCGGCCGGACTGGCAGGCTCCTCGCTGAGCTGGCAGGCAGGCTCCAGGGTGTGGACTTGGATACATGGGTCCAAGTTCGGGGCTTGAGTTGATTAGGCTCTCGGCCTAGTCCCATTACTCCATCAAGTCCGTTTGGTAATACCAAAATCGAGTGAATCAGCTGATTCTGCTAAAATTTATGAAGTTCTAGCCAAAGTGGCTGGATTGGCTTATTCTATTCATTTAAATATATTTTATTAATAAAATAAAAAATATATGAAAAATAGCTAAAATTGTTGTCTACATTAACTTCAGCCTATACAGCCAGAAAAATTGCTCCAACCTTACTTTTTCTTACTATTACACAATTCAGCGCGTGAAATCAAAAGTTTGTTTGATGAAAAAAAAGTATGAAAAGCTTGATAAATCAAAAAATGAGGTTACCAAACAGGCTCTACGTGAATTGGTGAAAAAGTTGACTAATAAGGTTGTTAATTAAATAGGGTCACCAAATGGGCTCATAAATTTTATACTTTTGTAAAAGTACATTTAACAAAGAATGTTTTTGATTACTTTTCATTTTTGAATTAATTTCGTATTAAAAACAGTACATTGACTAAGAAAATTTAATAGTGCCAAAATTTAGTGGGTAGGGGTAAATATTTATTCTTTTTTTTTAAATATTGTTTCCACCGGTTTTCATGAGACTTCCTAATTATAACTTCTTGTATGAATTTTCATTAATATTACATTTACTATTATTCTTTAATACACATTCAAAAATAATAATTCTTTAATACAAGTATATCTACACATATGATTTTTTTAAAATGTTTTCAGCTGATAACGTTATCTAAGATTACAATATAATTGATGTTAAATTGCGATCCGTGCATCGCACGGGTGAGAATCTAGTGAATCCAACACGGAGTAGGATTTTAGTTCATTATGACCGATGTCGTACATCCGGGTGTATGTGTACACCCGGTTATTTTGTAATTCCATGCAACTCTAAGGCTTATTTTCATGCTCCATATATGTTGCACGAACATCCGTATACTATTCGCTCAAATCTGCGTGCCATTATATTACTCCGTATTACGCAAGCAATTCAAGCTTCTACAACAGCTTCTTATTCACCACTCCCGACGTACTAATAATCAAATTATCAGCGACGAGCAGGAGGAGTGAGGCTGCCAGCATCATCGCCGCCGCCAGCTGCTACAGGCGGGTTGAGTACCTCAACACCCGGGTTAGGGAGGAGAGTGTCATCTCCGCCGGGAACATAGCCGGAGCCGCCGCCTACAATGCCATCGAAGGGGTTGATGGCGCCAGTTCCGCCGCCACTCTTGCCGGTGATGGGGTTGTAGTTGAATGGGTCCACTATTTGACCCTTGGGCGGGATGACTACGCGGCCGAACCCGGGAATCAACACGGTTCCGTCGTAACCGTGGAGAAACTCAGGATGGAGTTTCTTGTCCACATACTTGGACGCCCCGTTGATGTCGGCGGCCTCGTTGGGGATACCACGCCCGGCCGCCATTGCAGGGACACTTAAAGAGGACAGTACAATGGTGAAGAGAATCAAAAGAAAAGTGCAAAGGAAACGACGAGATTCCGCCATTGATGTGCTCTTGGGTTAATCCTTACGTGTTGAATTTAATGGAGAGAATGAGTGAGTTGAAGTAAATTAGTTTGAGCTCACTTCACAATTTATAGGGTCAAAAGAGGTAGGGGAAAGTACGTAAAAGAGGGGGCATGCATATTTAGGTGGGGGGTGCAGTTTGGTGGGTATTTAGCGGTGCTTGATTAAGGCATATTGGTGAGGATCAATCAGCTTTTAACAGCCCATTAATGCTACACCTCATCTCATCTGCCATTAGCAACTAGTTCTTTATTGCATCCTATCATTTTATTATAATACTCTCTACGTCCCAATTTACTTAGTCATCGTTGACTTTTCCAGTCAAAGATGATAAATTTTAACTAATTATAGGACAACGTTAATGCTCTGTATAGACTACATTCCGCTGAGATTTACCTGACAAATCAATCCAACCCTTGCCACACCGCTCTCACGTGCCAAATGAGCATAATTTTTAAACGAAATGAGTATAAACAAATAAGGATTTGAGCACATTAGCAATTTCAAATGACATTTTGGATTTTTCGATACTCCTTTTGTAAGTGGTTCCTAATACTCAACTGAATAAGTGTGATGCTCATTGAAAGTGTTTTAATACTCATAATAAGTTTGATGCACATTAAAAGTTCATTAATGCTCATTTAACAGAAACTGTGATTTTTATCTCAACAGAGAAGGTTTGATACTCAATGAAAATGTTGTTATGTCAAACTAACAAACTTTACGGTATGATTTTCATATCAATTAACATTTTGTAAGCTACGTATGCTCATTTCGTATTGATGTTATGCTCATTTAAAAATATCATATCAATGCATATTTCAAAAGTTTCATATTACACTAAATTCACATATTGAAATTCATAAGAGTGTATTATAGATATAATTTAATAAGTTTTTATAAAAGAAAAAGAACTAAAATTAGAAGATATGAAGTTGAGATCGTGTTTCTCATTGTTAGCCTCGTAATACTCAATAAAATAGGTTGGATACTCACTAAACGTACAATATTGCTCATTTAGCGGAAGCTGTGAATTTTCGCTTAAATTACAAATATGCCACCAATTTTTTTTTGGCCTGTATTAGTGGTTGGGTCGTCTTTCTTACTTGGGCCGGGTGTACGTACACCCGGATGCACTATATACGAATCATGCCATAATTACTCGTTACTTGTGTAGAAAAACTTCCTAATAAAGAAACCCATTATATATATAGAGCCAGCTCTCTCCCTCCTGCCTTCCTTCTCATAGTCATCTAGTCTCAATACTTACTGCCAAGCCTCAAGATTTAAATTGAGAATCCTAAACATTATTCAATCATCTGAAAAATTTGAATCACTCGTAATTATGGCTAAGCTATGAGTGTGAACTGTGGGTTGATCAGTTCTTTGGAGAAGGAGCTAGACGAATGGAGGAAGACATTACAGGACACTATCTCTCCAGAACATACTTTGGTATTTCACAAATTTGCGGATAACACTGCTAAAAGTAAGTAGTGTCTTCTTCTTTTCATTTTTTTGTACAATATCATTTTTATTTGATTTGTAAAATAAAGCACCTTTCCAAACGCAAGTGCACATTGCTAATTTACCTAATAACCTATATCACTTAAAAGTGTGACCTTTTGACTACGTGAACAAATTAAAGTCAGCAAACATGCCCTTCTGTGGTAATTAGTAATTCGTAAAAAAACTATATACAAAAGAAAAGTAACACTAGTGCAAAATAGGCTTTTTACATCACCTTTTCTACATGTGTTATCCCAAAATCCATGTGAAATACTTGCATGGGTCATTTTTGCAATTTTATAAAATATTCCGCATGGGTTGTTTTTATAACCGATTTTAAATATTAAAACGGGGTACATTTTAAAATATTATGAAATATTCTACATCGATGGTCTATGAAACCGATGTTAAAATGAAAACGGTGTCTTTTTTATAATTAATTAAAAGTTAGTTTCACATCGCTTAGAACCAAGAACTGATCTACGCGTTTTAAACCTAGCAGAAGAAGAAAAGGCGGGCGAGTGACCTTCGGCGCTAAGGTTGCAGCTTCCGACCTAATAGGCGGGCGAGTGACCTTCGGCGCTAAGGTTGCGCTAAGAAGGAAACACGGGCGAGTGACCTTCGGCATTTCAAACCTTTGCAGCTTCCGACCTTCGGCGCTAAGGTACGTTGCTTCTTCCGACCTTCGGGCAATTTTATCATCAATCCTTATTTATTCTTATATTACCTTAATTAGTGTTTAGTAATTGATAGGGTTTCTGCTAAAACTTAATAAATTGTTGATTATATTCGTTGATTTACTCTCATGAATCCTCAATAATCTTTCATCTTTATTATTCGTTGTTTTATGAATTTATTGAAGTGAAAAATTCTATTTAGACACTCCATAAACTGATTTAAAGACAAGGAATTTAAAAAGATGCCGCGAAAGGATTAAAGAGGAATGTTCTGCAATTGCTTTCAAGTTCCAAACACTTCACCATACTACTTTTATTTATAGCTAGTTTTTAGTTAGTTTTTTAGATGGGTGAAAGCTTCATTGATACACAGTCAGAAACTTTTAATAAGAATGTTATGACTATGTGTTTGGCTGTTTGCAATGTGTTGCCCGAGGATAACTCACTATGTAGCCTATATGTATTAGCTCTTATAGAGTAGTGTGCTTAGTTTTGCTTTCCTAACTACTTTTATTTTAATCTGTTGACTTGCTAAGGTTTGCACGTTAGTAACTACTTTTATCTTAATATTAACAACTCACTAAGTAGTTTTACTCAAACATAAATCTTTGATGACTAATTAGTGTTATTTTAATCAGTAACTTTAGTTTTAGTAAATGAGCTAGTTTTTGGTTCTGTGACGTAAAACACAAAGTTAGATTGTTTTATGGATTTGGGTTTCATAGTTGCTTTTATTTTACATGTATTGATTTGTAGTATTATATCATAATGGAGTTAATTAGTATTTACTCCCTTAGTCTGAACTCTAAAAGCCAGTAGGTCTTGTATTAATATCTAGGCAAATGTTTTTATTTTTTATTCATTCTTATAATGCTTTATCATTTAATACATCAATACAAATATTTTCATGATCTAAAGACGTGGCTCTAATACTATTAAGACGAATACTGTATTTGAAAAGAGAGAGAAAGAGACAATGTTATTAATGATGTTAGTGAGACTGAGTTAGAGTCTTGTCAGAAACTTTAAGAGAAATAATTATAAAGGTATGTCAATTTGTCATTAATAACTGTTTTTTATTTGCTAACTTTTCTTTTATAAGTTAATACATTAACTGACGTTTTTCCTTATTGAAGGTGGGATTGAAAAAAAGAGCAATAAGCATTTTGGGTGATGTTTGTGATGATGAAACAAAGTATTATCCAAGAGCTCAATGAGATCCTATTCTATATTCTGAGATGATCTGCAAAAGTACATGAACTAATACCTCCATGCATTCCCCACTAATCTCACTCAATATGGTAAAGTTAGATTAGCCGGTGGACATCTAGGGCCACCAAAAAATATATTTTAATAGTACCTTATTTTTTCATATGTTGCTTTATCATTTAATTCCTCAATGAAATGTTTTTGTTGGTTTAATTAAGTAGGCTTCTCTTTTACTTCTATGAAGACAAGTGCATTTGAAAAACAAAGAGGAAGAGACATTGTTGATGATGTGAGAATCAAATATAGTTATATCATAGAATTTTATGAAAAACGAATGAAGTTCTATATGTCGTAATTTTTTTCCAGTTATTTTGCTTTTATCATTTAATACTTGGGCTTGATTGTTTACAATTGATATTTGTGCTTTTGAAGGGTTTGAGTGGAGTGAGTAGTTCAAGTTTTGTTGATGTCTTCTAAATCACTCACAATAAAGGTGACAAGCTTCCAAATGTGGAGATGATACAAAAATGTATGACCATTTTTCTATTGTTTGACATTATTGAATTTGTTTCTAAATAAAACAGTTTTGTCCTGCAAAAAGAAGTTGTTTGTAATCTGAAATCAATATATGTGAAAGTCGTTAATGTGAAATGTCAATCGAATTGTTGAATCAACTGTAATAATTCCATTTCATCCAAATCTAAGGATTTTTATCGTTCACTAATAATCTGCTGAAAATTAAATCTATTAATGACTAATGTTAAATTTATCCCAAAAAAAATTGAAACAAGGATGATTTTGATTGCTTGCATTGTATGATTCAATAGTCTTGAACTAAAACTTGTTTACAGCTCCTTTGTCTAGCTGTTATAGAATGGTCTATTGCCTTATCCACTTTTGGTCTTTGCATTTAGCTTGATTTTTGTTATATTTTAAAATTTGGGTGCATGCTTGTGTGAATGATAAAACATTATGGCAGCTTAATTTTTTTATTAACTGCAGGTAAGTTATCCCTTTAATTAACCTGGAGTGTTACATTCTAGTAGTTAGGATGTTGGTATATCAATATTTTAGGTTGACAATAGTATTTCTATTATAAAGAAATAACTTAATGTGTCCTTATAACAATACTTCTATTGTTTTTTAATACTTTAAATTAAGATGATACATGGACTTATGCCGCATGCAAAAAAAAAACTTATAACTTTGATGGGTTAAAGACTCTAATAGGAGCTAAACATAGGCTTCATATGCAAATAGGAGCTCTAACTTTTTAAACCCTAAATAGGACCTAATTTCATCCGGACGGACAAAAATACCCCCAGCTTCTTTACTACCGATCTAGCTTCTTCGCAGACCAGCTCACCAGCTGACTCTCCCTTCCGATCCGTACAATCGCGATTGAAGAATCTCCGGACTCAGCTGACAACGACGAATATCGAATCAATCTTCCTCGCAAAACAATCTTCCTCGCAAAATAATTGCTGAATAATTCGTTGATTGAAGAACGAAACTCAGATCGATTCTTTTCCAATCGCGCTTTCCGTTCACGTCGAAACTCATATTTCGTTGACTACGGTAAGAGACTCATCCTTCGACATCAATATGATAGCAGAGCTTTTCATCCTTCGACATCCTTCGATCGATTTCTGACTGGATTCCTAAAAATTTAGTTTCTTTGAAGATATCT